TGTCCTAAATGTTCAAAACACAACAAGAGATGTATAAATTGTATTGAGTAACATAGGCACTCGGTTCCACAACCTTCTATGATTTTAATTTCTTTAAAAAAAAAAAAATCATAGAAGGTTGTGGAACCGAGTGCCTATGTTGAGTAATGGAGGCCGCCATTTCTTTTTCTTGGATATTTTCCGTACCGCACTGTACAGTTATGGAAATTAAACCATTGTTTATTATGGTCATTATTTAGCTATGATTTTGTGATTATTGAGTTAAGTAAATATTTTGTGTGAGAGTGATTTGTTTGAGGCAAATTGTCAACAGTCAACATATGGCCCAGAATACAAGACGTATTATGCTCAGTCTTTCAAAATAATCAAGGGAAGCATGATAAAGTGTTTTCCTGTACCCATCAATTTATTACCTATCTATGTATTTGGTCCGGCTAAAAATCACCAGGTCCAGTAAGATTTCATATTTTACTGGCCCGAATGTCCTGTGCGTTTTAAAGTTTTTCGTGAAGACTGAAATTCCCATAGAATTTAGAACAAAATTAAATGATGTTGTTGAATTAAGGATTATTTTTACTGCCTTATTTATATTTTCCAGTGCTTTTGCTTTCCAGTATTTTGAAGAACTTGTTAAAATTTTGTTTTAAATTTGAGACCCCTTTTCCCAAAGTATGCCAAAATCACGCATATTTTCCCCCAAGAAAAAGGCTGAGGCCCCTTCCCCAAAAATGGTGTTTTGGCCCTGCATTCTCTAAATGCACCCAAATATGATATCTAATAATCTATAATCTACTTCTATTCCAAAACTTTATAATTAATACATTTTTTCTTTCATTCTTTCATGTAATTCCAACTGTCACAGTATAAAACAGGTACACTGAAGACCTTAAGCAGGGACATATATTACATATCTGCCTTAAGCTAGATGTCTACATGTATATGCAATACTCCTGGCCTACCTACAAAATACAGTTGCTAGGAGGCTGGACATATATTTAAAAAAATTTGTATCATTAAAATAATGCATCTTTGAGAAACAACCCATTACCCATTTTAAAGTAATTTCTATTTGACAAAGTTTTACTATTCAGAAAGATTTAGAATATCTTAGTTATCTTTAAACTTGATTATAGTGTAGTATACCTTCAAAGACAAACTGTACACATCCGAATACTATTCACATTTTAATGAATTTAGCATGAAACGACGACGTAAGGACGTTTTTCACAATAAAGAGACTTGAGAGAAAAAATAGTTATTTCTCTGATAACAGATATTCTTATCAATGTCCAATTCAATGAATACATCGTTTAATTATTGTAGAAAGAACAAAATGCATACATTACCTTTTATTTTTATTGCGAGATAGCGGCATTGGCAACGATATACTAAGGGAGCGTAATCGAGGAGCGCGCTGTCAGTAACTCCCCACGCAGTGATCTCCCTTTCAGTTTTTATAGGACGAGCATACAGTATACTTAAATTACGAAGATGGGATGGCAATGGAAGGGGGTTTTAACGCGACAGTAATAATGTGGCTACTCTATTGTTTTCTGTATTGTTCTTTTTAGCCACACAAAAGAAAATAGCCACATAAACGTATTACGAAATGAATGACATCAAAGAGAAAGAACAGTTAGTCCTATTGTCCCTCTAGCCACATTATTAATTACTGTCCCGTGAGAGAGGCAACAATGTGCCGGTGTAACGTAATTGGAACATAAATTTTAAAATTTCCTATTTCAGATAAATCATGATTTACTTTCAAGTCTGATTAATCTTTGTTTTAAAATGCAGCTGCTGTTACAAGTGGAACAATCCCTTTTCCCCTATTTTGGTTTGGACTGTATTTGTTGAACTTACTAGAAAAGCACCAAAACAAATTTTCTTCTTGACGTTAATTTGTAGGCTTACTACTTAGCAACAATATAAAAAAAGTAGGCCTTCAAGTTATACTTTTATACTTATCAACTGATATTTAGCGTTAAATACCACACAGTACAGTAGAGAGGGAATTTTTTATATTTCCCAAAGTCAATATGTTAATTAAGGGATGTATGTATTTCAATCCAGGGATCGTTTGAGCCTTACTGGGGTCACGACAATGTTTCTTTAAATTTCACTAAAACAGGTTAGTTCCAAGAAAAGCACTTTACAGCTGTTCAAATAAAGCGCTCACATTTTAAAAAAAAAAATGACAGGGAGTGTCAGTATTCTATTTCGTCACACCCGACTTTTTTTTTCGAATAAACGGACAGACGGACAAAGATGTTAAAGTAAATTTCAATTATGTGATATTATGTTCACATTTTTGCAGTATTTGCAGAAAAAGAGTCACTTTCTTCTGTAGAATTATGACCGAGGGTCAGTAATTTTTAACGAAAATGACTATCTGTCATTGTATTTTAAAGACTATTGACACTGCAAGGCATTATATATAAGTTTAAACATATTTTATTGCAGCACATACATGTAAAGTATTATACAAATGATAAGTATATAACAAAAAGCAAATGGGTTTGGCAACAAGTTCTTGCCACATTACATGAAGCCCTTCCAAGAAATAAATATTATAGAAAAAAAACTAATAATAGATTTAACTAACGATAAATATAAAGAGTAAAAGTTTTTCAATTTGGTTTGAAAACAATGCGGTGTATAAAAGGTCAAAATAAAATTTCAACCAGTAAAGATAATAATAGAGGCCAAATGCAGACAATAGTAAAATTTAGTGGTTTGGATTACATTTTTTCAAATACATTGAATTCATCATTCAGCACCATCTTGTCCTTTAATATAAGCGTAATAAAATTATTCAAAACATCATTTAAAACCACTAATAGTAATAGGTAGATTAAAGTTAATTCAATTAAACATGTCGTGCTAGGTTATGCCAGGCAGATTTAACTTATACCTGATACAGCTGATTATAAAGACTCGGGCTGCAAGTTACCGTATTTGAGGCAGTCAGAGATTGAAGCAAAGACAGCCAATAGCAGAGTCTGATGCATTGAATGATCGAATTTTGTATAGACTACGTTAGAATCTGAGGCAGTCGATAATGCCGATAATACAGGCCAAGGCAGCCAATAAGTCTGAGGACGTCAATAACAGACTAAAACTTGGAAAAGACCTTTTTACAATTCGATTTTTCCATAGTAACCGATGTTGCATTTCGCGCATGCGCATTATACGTAGGGCAAAAGCGCAATAACGATAGACTACATTTTAAGTTATGTCACCCAGAAAACAGATTTTTTTGTGATGAATTAAAGCGGTTAGTACTTCAAACGTGAATTGATATTTATAACAGATATACAAAGTTAGCGGGACTAATAATTCAATGACCAAAAGTCCTGTTCAAGGTATCATACAATGACTTTTTCATCAGTAATCTAAATTGAAACAGCCGGGTGTCAAAGATTCAATTTTATTACCCATGTATTACGTTCGAAACACGAGGCTATCTGATTTGTACGAGGGGGCGTAGCCCCCGAGTATAAATCAGATTGTCGAGAGTTTTGATGTTCTTTCTCTTTTGTATCATAGTTAAACATAAAAACACGTTCCTTGATGTCACGTCACAATACTATATGAAACCCTAGAAAAAAGAAACTAATCAACGAGCACAGCATCTGAATATGATATTTCTATCGCTTTCCCTTTCTCTGCCGTCACAATAAGTAAACCCCAGCAAAAAATGAGCCAATCAATGGGCATGCTCTAGAGTGCGGGTAACATATATAGCTCTTCGTGCATCTTATTCAGGAACAAGCGTTCACGCAAAGGTATGTAGTCTAAGCATGTACATTTCTGACTATATGGTGATAGTTTGCAATTTCATTGAACAACTTTCTAATGCCTCAAGTTAGAGTATCATGTACATACATAAAGCTTGACTTTACTTGAACTTGGCTACACGTCATAATGTTTCAAATTTTAAGGCAAGAAACAATATATGGTCAAGCATGTATTAGCTAGCTTATAAATATATATTGCGAATGCTCAGTAATATGTCTAGTCAGCGTCTCCATGTTAAGATAATTACGAAAATAAATTCAGACCTGGTAGAGTATATTACAGTTCACGTGTACCAAGTCTACTTGATTATAAATCCAAGTAACAAAACAAAGTGTTTAACAATGTATTATTTCATTATGCCTAACGAACCTGACTGCAAACCAGTTTTTATTTGTTTGGGTCGTCAGACCAAACAAATAATGGTAGCGAAATTTCAGACTCTAATGCTGTTAATTGCAAATGCCGAAAGTAGTCCGCTTTTTTGAGACAGGCGCATTAATTTTCAAGCAAAATAATTCCCGAATGGTCGAAGATTTCTAATATTGTTTTATTCTTTATAGATATACATGCTTATAGTAAGCTCCATGATTATTTACATCTGTGTTAAACAACGGTTAGCGTCGTTACAAACCCTAGTTTAGAATAATATGTTTTTCTTCAGGCCGTTAACATATAAATTCACCGTGACTGAGTGGTTTGCGCGCTTGCTTATGAAGCGAGAGGTCTGGAGTTCAAATCCCAGGTAAGGCAACTCATTTTTTTTTCAAATTGTTTGAGTCAAATAAACATTGGATTGAATATCAGTGTTGCAAGTAGTCTTATAGCCAATTTACTACAATTAAAACGCTGGAAAGCATTGGTGGCACTATACAAAAACAAATTGGTTTATTATAAATCTCACAACCTGCACCTTTCTTACATTCTGAGACCCAAACAAATTCAGCGCCTTCTGTGCTTTGATATAAGTTATGGTTTCTCGCTTGTGACAATAATTTGACACCGTGTCCCCTTTATTCCATACCAACATATATATATTTGAGCAAAACGAATGTATACGCATATGTTATCAACAATTATGTTGCACCTCATACGACTATATACGTTAATATGTATGATATGAATATTTATTTCAATAATATTATAATTATTAAAATAATTAAAATTGTAATGATAAAACATTTACACACGGGAGCTGATATTTAGAGGGGATACATTTATTTATGGAATATAACATTTAATGTTTTTATGGACCAAAACAGCATGTTTAAAATAAATTTGTAACAAGTAGAAGTTATTTTTTACTAAATTCTAAAATATGAATTTGTTCATACTATATGCAATGAATTGTCTACGTAATAGTTAGTTTTTAGATGTTTCTGTTTTATTCAAATTTCGTTTGTTGTTATATGTTCTTGTACAATGAGTTTTATTTACATGATGTGACTAAAAAATATTTTCCGAGATTTTTTACCGTTAGATACGGGTTTGTTCTAATAACTTGTGTGCAAAATTTACGATCATTTGCTCTTCCCGTTTACCAGAATAAGCATTTTTATGGTGAAAAACGAGCTAAAGAGGAAAATAGTTTAATTTTTTTTTACTTAAACTGGACTATAACTATAGATTGGACCACAGTAAAAGCTGGGCCATTCCGCTTTTCCAGCTAAATTCTTAGCTGTTTTGTTTCGCTTTATTATTTAATTTTTATCGTTGCACTCTTCTTTACGTTTCGGGAGACTTGTGTGAAAAAACGCGCAAGTCTCACAATAAAAACAGATTAACATGCGTCTGTATTTTCTACTCTAACTTACAGAAACATTTTAACCTTGACAAAAAAGATTGTTGTGAAATAGTTAGCACTATAGTTCATTCAAAACAAGCAGAACAATGGCGAAAGAGGAAGATAACGTTCAACTTAAGGAAACAGATATGAACCACGACACTGATGACCAAAGAAAGAAACCATTGACAAACGAGACATATGTTGATGTCGAAGAAGAAAAGGAAAAACTATTTCACTATGATGTCTTTGAAAATCCACCTGTTGTCATGACATTTGTTTTTGCCATACAGGTATGATTGACATTATTTTTTCATCCATGGAAACAACAGAATTTTGTTGTGCTGATGAACACTCATTTTGAAAGTTGAATATTTTATAAGAATATGACATCATATAGATATTTTAGTCACTTGCAAACAGTGATTTTTTTTTTGATTTTTTTCGCTGGTGATTTGTATTAGCATGATAATATATCATGCTTTAAATAGCCCCCCCCCCCCTGTATGTAAATAAATCAGTTTACAATACATGTCTACATATTTCAGCAAGTATTAATGTCATTATCACGATCTTTGTCGACTGCATTGCTCGTAGCAGACATTGTATGCGCACGGACGGACGAAAACTTTAAAGCAAGGCTACTAAGCACGACGCTCTTTATATCAGGGATTACTACATTTCTTCAAAATACCATTGGCGTCAGGTAAATGATTTACTTCATCATAAGAGTCGATGGGCATGAGTGACTGGACATATATATTTCATATTAAATAAACAAGGGGCAGGACGTGAAGTGGTTGCACACTCATTATGGAATAGACATACAGCAACCAAAACGGCTTAAGTATGAGTCTGCAACCAAAATGTGCTTGAACAAGATATTTTTGTGTATTGAACGTTATCTTCGGACTTGCAAACTAAACCACTTGTACAGCATTGACAGAAACATATTTTGTTATTGTTAAATGCAGTTTAAAACTTACAAATTCGAATACATTAGGAGAAAAACCGACCAGAACAGTCACATGTCAAATTTCAAAATATCTAATGATCACTTTATATCTTCAATAACTTTGTCAAAACAGAATCTAGGATGCTGAAACCTTTAACCGAGTGTGGCATATATATATTGCATTAGGGATTAGACATACTAATGCACTTCAAAATAACAATGAAACCCACTTGCCTGGCAAAAATTCGTTCACCCGTTTCAAAAAATTACGACGTGTTCGCAAATTTGTCAAGTTTGCAACCAATTCGCTCGCTTGAACCAAGTGTGCAACCACTTCACGTCCTGTCCCTTGATAAACTGATCTTATATGGATTGCTTTTTGAGTTGGTACAAATTTCCAACACTGTTCAATACCGTTCTGAAGTATGGTCGTCTTAGTTGGCGTTTGTAGACGTTTGCTAACCACAGACGGGCAAACATAATTGACATAACTGCGAACACTGGGTTATGTTACAAATGATAACGTTGAAGTTTTGTTTCAAATAAAAGAAACACAGGAGCAACAAAACAATTATCACGAAGCGATAATGAGTTAAAAGGACTTTGCTGACAGATCTTTTTATTAAAATATAGAACAAACTACACTCGTATTGCTTTATATCATTTTGCACAAAGCTGAGGAATGCAGATGTATTAAACCAAATGAAATAACACCTCATGTATTTACGAGGATGTTTTGTCAGGAGCAAATATTCGCTTGAATAGTGATTTAAACAAAAAGATTAAATATTGCCTTTAATTTATGTAATAAAACATGTATATTTTTATATTGTTTATATTTTCTTACGGAATAATTAGAATTTAATAGAAACGTTTATGCTTTGTTAATTACAGTATCTCAGTGTTGTCCAGAAAGTTACTGGTTTTTTATCATCTTGTAATGTTTCCAGGTTGCCTTTATACCAAGGTCCAGCTATGACCTACCTCGTACCTTTGTTAGCTATGTCTACATTACCTGAGTGGCGATGTCCGGACCTAGCAGTTCAAAGTAAGTTTTCTATTAATGTATCTTTAATCACCATTCTATAATATAGCCTAACATATGTGTTCCATGTAAAGTTGTGGTTTCATGTTACGGGGCAAAAATCATCATATGTCTTTAAAAAGCTTCAGCAAAATGATATTTTCATGAAGGATAATTTGTCTCTTGAAAATACAAATGTAGCTTATTTGTTGTTTGAAAATAGCCAATACTAGTACACAAACAACAATGTATGTCGTTTGAAAATAGCTAATTTATAATTTGAAAAATAGCTACTATTAATTTATCATTTGAAAATATCTAATTTGTCGTTTTAATATTACAACGGTGGCAAATCTTACGTATTTCTTTAAGCCTTTAACCTTATTTTATAAATTTTCATAAAGCTGAACGTATTGTTTCGTAAAGCTGAACGTATTGTTTCATAAAGCTGAACGTATTGTTTCGTTAAGCTTAACGTATTGTTTCGTTAAGCTTAATTTATCATTTCGTTAAGCTTAATTTATCATTTCGTTAAGTTGAACTTTCAGCTGAATTGATTGTTTTATATTAGGCCAATTGTTTTGTTTCGTTATGTTTCATTAAGCGAAATGGATTGTTTCGTTAAGCTAACTTTGTTGTTAAGTTGAACAAAACTGAATGTTTCAAGTTTAAGTTTATTGGCAAATCGACCATGAACATTGTCTTTATATATTTATATCTTTGGCCGTTAACACACACGCATTATATGGCAAACAGATTTAACATTAATATAATGTAGTCAATAAACACTTGGTGATGTTTATATGTATTTGTTCTATCAAAAATAAAACCTGTAATAAAATAAAACAACAATAAGACATCACATTACAAAACAAATATTTTACAAGACAAATACATTTCACAAAATACATAATACAAAATATTATACAACAATTCAAATTTACATTATAAACAATTTCACAAATATATATATACATACCAGGCTTTGTAAGAAGAAATCTAATGTAATAATAGAAATAAGAAGCAAGTATTTCTATAAAGAAATAACTGAAAGTAAACTTATTTTAAAGTTGTTTTCACTTCGAAAGCGAGACAAGGAGTGGTCAGTTACTAAGAAAATGTTACATTCCAGAACCAAATCATCTAAAAATAACTTGCATACCAAAATCAATCATCCATCACTCAACTTGCAAAACCAGTTCAATCACCCATAACAAAAGGACAAAAGTCAAATATGAACACATAACACCACAATAGATTTGGTCTGGCCTTTAAGGGAAATTACTACCGTATTTATAATAAAAAGAGAACTTGAGACTATTTTAACCTCATCTACAATAACCATAACAACGTTAGCTTTTAAAAAAGCTAGTAGCGACTCGCTTCGTAATTTTTTTCCAGGGGTGTGTTTAAATGTAAAAATGTAAAATGTAAAAATGACAGTTCTGTTAGCTGAAGAGACTTCAGCGAAAATCAAAATAAAAGTGACATATAAAGTTATGGAAGCCAGTTCTGTCGGAATATGAGTATATATGAAGCTGCATGTAAAGTTTTTTGACGCTATGTAAGATTAAATTTGATTGGCTAAATAATTTTGGATCCTAGCCCTGATAGATAAATTTTGCAGAAAGCTGGAAGCCAAGCTTCGATTAAATTTTTGGATGGATTCGGATTTTTAGGTTGTTTCTTAGTAAAATCCTAACGTAATACCGGCACGCCGTGGCGAGCCGGCAACATGTTTACATAAGCTTACTGTTTTGTTTCGTTATGCTAAATGTTTTGTTTTCTTAAGTTGACAGTATTTCTTTCGTTACATTGAATGAATTTGTTTCGTTAAACTGTTTTGTTTCATTTAGCTGATTTAATTGTTACGTTACAGTTGGTTCATCCACTGTTGTAAACACCACAGACTTTCCTGCCATATCAAATGTGACCACAAAGATATTATATGATAATGCAGATACTTTAGATAAAGTACAAAGGGTAAGGCGCTGCATTGTACAATTGTTTTGTTTACAGTGTTGGTAATAATATATATCCACTATTTTAAACTTTCGAAATTTAATTCATCCTAGAATTCTGATTAAACTATCTAATCTGAAGAAAAAATATATGCCGAAAACGAAAAAGGCAAATAAAAATGACACGTTGTGCATAACAATGTGCTTTTACAATTTTGATTTATCACTTACAAGTACTTTTACAAATAAGTGTAATCTCTTTAAAGTCCTTTTAAACAGTCAGGGGTCTAATGCGAAACCATGTAGTATGCAAGCACCTATTTCTAACTTTTTTTTTCAGTTGGAAGGAAGTCTAATGATAGCAGGTGCTATTCATATGTTGGTCGGACTTACAGGTGTTGTTGGTCTGTTAATAAATTTTATAGGACCAGTAACAATAGTGCCAGCACTCACTGTAATTGGAATTTACATATACAAGGCCACAACTAAGTTTGCTAAAACGCAATGGGGCGTTAGTTTGTTGTAAGTATTAAAATTCGGTTAAGAAACATCTGAACAATCGTCATTTTCATGATAATAATATGACCGGTTCTCTATAAATTGTTGATAGTGCAAATATGTTATTGTCTTTAATATGTAAACACCTAGCTGAATTTCTAAAAGTAACCTGTCAAGCTTGCATAGTTGTATTTTTCTATTATCGTGGGGATATCAAATTGAAAATCTTCAGTTGGTCAGCCAAGACTAAAGAGCCTTGTCCGACAACATAGATGTGCTGGCTGACCTAGCTCTATGAAAACGTCTAATCGCTTTCTGTTGGTTTATGTTAGTTTAGTTTTATCAACTTTGACAGCACGAAGTGCCTTTAAAGTATTGTCTCCACACGCTCAGTTTTATGTTTTAGATTCTTCAAATCCGAAACCAAATGTCACCTCTTTTTATTGACACCATTGCATAAAAATGCATATCAAATATTTGAATGCATATGAATTTTAAAACGATTGTTCTTGACGTTTGGCTGGTCTGGATCCATGCTGGTCGCAAACGCATTATGTTGGTTTTGTCATGGCGCGGCTCAATTATGTTCTATTGATGTATTTATGTTAACAGAACTGTTGTGATAGCCATGATACTATCGTTCTATCTGCGGAAGAGACGATCTCCATTACCGGTGTGGTCACCAAAGAGGGGATTTCGAATTATTTGGTTTCCTCTACATCAAATGTTTTCGGTAAATTATATTTAAGTATATAATACGGAATGCCGTTAGGGCCATTGCCTATGAATGTGTTGATCTGAAACTCGATAGTCGATAGTACGATGGTGAAAACGCGAAATCACGAAACTACGATGGTGAAAACGCGAAAGCACGATGATGAAAACGCGAAAGTACGATGATTAAAACGCGACAGTACGATACTACGATGATGAAAGCGCGATAAACTATCGTGTTTTCACCATCGTACTGTCGCGTTTTCACCATCGTAGTTTCGTGATTTCGCGTTTTCATCATCGTACTGTCGTGTTTTCATCATCGTACTATCGCGTTTTCACCATCGTACTATCGCGTTTTCACCATCGTACTATCGCGTTTTCATCATCGTACTGTCGTGTTTTCATCATCGTACTATCGCGTTTTCACCATCGTACTGTCGTGATTTCATCATCGTACTATCGCGTTTTCATCATCGTACTATCGCGTTTTCACCATCGTAGTTTCGTTATTTTGTGTTTTCACCATCGTACTATCGGCTATCGCGTTTCAGATTAACACATTCATAGGCGATGGCCCTAACGGCATTCCGGAATGCCGTTAGGGCCATCGCCTATGAATGGTTTGATCTGAAACGCGATACTCGACAGTACGATGATGAAAACGCGAAATCACGAAACTACGATGGTGAAAACGCGACAGTACGATGGTGAAAACACGATAGTTTATCGCGTTTTCATCATCGTAGTATCGTACTGTCGCGATTTCATCATCGTACTATCGCGTTTTCATCATCGTGCTTTCGCGTTTTCACCATCGTAGTTTCGTGATTTCGCGTTTTCACCATCGTATTATCGACTATCGCGTTTTAGATCAACACATTCATAGGCAATGGCCCTAACGGCATTCCGTAATATAAAGCTTTATTCAGTTACATTTAAAAACTCTTCATAGATATCATCACAACATGACTGTACATTATTAATTTGCCCAGTCCAATCAAATTACCGTTTGACGCTAACATGTACATAGGCATACTATATAAGTACGAGTTCATATAATCTGGGTTACCTAGATTTAATCATTTAGCAATACAATATACAGTTAATAGAATATACAATAAACAAGTACAAACTGTTTCTTTTTTCACGCATTAGTAAATATATATATGATATATAAATATGATATTTCTATAGACCATTATTTGTTTTTTTTTATTATCAATAGTATCATCATCGTCATCTTTGTAACTATTATATTCATCATCATTTCATTCTTCTATTTTTTTCATCATATGTTGTTGATGCTTGTAAAAACTTACCTGTCAATTGTGAATAAAAATTGTTTGAACGAAATTTCAACTTTTTAACGTAACATTTACAATGTTAACAAGATGTAATTTATTTCAGGTTCTTATTTCATGTATAATTGGATGGGTAGTTAGTGCTATTTTGACTTCATGTAACCTGATTTCAAATGACCCATCGAACGACAGTTACTATGCTAGGACTGATTCAAGACTTGATGTAATACAGGAGACAAATTGGTTTATACTTCCTTATCCCGGTAAATATTTTCTTAAGGTATTACATGCCTAATGAACGACCTCCGTTTTTGCTTTTAATATATGTTCATGGAACCAAACTTATATATCCCTTACGCACCGTCTTGAGAAATTATGGAAATACCAATATAATTAGCAATACTAACTAACGATCATATAACATGTTATTGTAAGTCTCATTTCGTCTGTTTTAATGTTTATTTTATATCTCATTCTATAGGTCAGTTTGGCCCACCAGGATTCGATACAGGGGCGCTTATAACCTTTCTAATGGGGACTATTAGTTCGATTATTGATTCCATCGGTGATTACTACGCATGCGCAAAGGTTTGTGAGGCTCCGCCCCCACCAAAGCATGCTGCAAATAGAGGTAAAATATACACTTCAATGTTCTGTCATCTTTGAAACAAGAAATATTAATTCTTAAGAGAATTAATTGTCAGAAATATCTTAATACAATGTATTATAATTCGATTTTTCACAAAAATACAAACAAAATAAATTGAATACTGGTATTTAGCGCAGGATTAAGTTCCCAGCAAATAGCAATGTAAGGATAACAAAAAAAAAGAAAATAAGAATCCCTAAAAATGGACCAAAACGACACAATTGAAAATGTTGCATGCTCGATTCGATTGTGCTTGTTCATGAACGGTACTGGAAAACGCAAACTACCGACCACGCCCCCTAGCACCGGTTTTACCTGAATACAGTTTTACATGAAATGGTAAAATTTTGATTTTAGAAACATCTGCAGATAAATTATGTTCATGCGACGGTTATTATGGAACGTTCAATGTGATACGTTAGTGTCATTTCCACGTTAGTAAGCCTGTACATGTACCCGAAGCCAAAGTGAAAGTCTTACGGTCGGCTGCAGCCTAATGGTTTAGCAGTCTTTTTCTCAACCCTGTGATCGTAAGTCCGAGCCCTTCTGAAGGGTCACGGCCATAGCCTTTCCTCGTTAATTTGATTTTTTTATTCATTATTTATTAATTGAATCTGAAATGAATTGGTATACAATGGCAGGCACTTTTTCCATAAGTGTTTCAAATGTAGAGAAAACAATACAAATGTATTATTTGCATAATCTCATAAATGATTTTTTGGGAAAAAAAGACATCTCGACAGAATCCTCCTCTGACAAAGTATGAACATGTATATGATAGGTAATAATAGTTTGTTCTAGGAAAAATAATTGTTTACCAACAACAGCAATATAATATTTTTTCATGGTTTAATTTTGTTGTCGCGTATGGTATTAAATACTGTCAGCATAAAGTTTGTTATGGTATTACTGACCTTTCTATCGTAGACCAATTCACCTATTGTAACAATAATACTGATTGATTCACTTTATCACTGCCTTGTAGGTATAGCTATTGAGGGATTTATGAGTTTTATAGGGGGGTGGTCAGGAGCAAGTCATGCTACATCCACTTTTGGCGGCAACATCGGAGCTATTGGAATCACGAAGGTAAGATTTAAACATTTACCTACTGAAACCCAATGTGGTTAGTCATTGCCACCTGTATGATTATGATTTAAACATATTTTTTTGCCAACAGAACAAAACAACAACAAAATTCATGCATACATGTAAAGACATTAAAAATACAAATGTATAATATATTTGCCAAAAGAGTTGACACACATGTTCACGGCACTTTCATTTATACTGTAGGTAGTTTAGATGTTTTGTATTTGGATACGGAAATACTTTAAATATTTATTGGATTGTTCCAAAGTCAAAGCTGGGCGAACCCATTGGTTAAGTTTTAACGTGCTTAATAATATTGGACTGCATTGTTATCAGAAAACTAAATCTTGTCTGTTTATCGAAAAATATAAGCAAGGAGCGCATGTACAGAATTATCTCGAAAGTCAGTATTTCTTTTTGGTTCTATTTATTCATAATGTACATTTGTGTCGGATCAAATGACCATGACAATACGGAAACAAAGTGGTTGCATATTTATAAATGTTTATGTAGTATATTAAGCCCAATATGTCAGAAGCTTTGTTGAAATAACACGGCATTTTTGAATATTTTTTATGCGCTGTCCTTTCCGCAATCAACATCAATTAAATTTAATACGAAACAGATCTTTGTGGTATATATTTCTATATAAAAGTCTCTGGTGGTATAGAATCAACCGTTTACACGACATTTTGCGGATTCGAACCTAGTCCATACCAAAGAACTCCTTTAAAAGACCGATTGATTCTCACCATGCCAATGGGATAGTTACAGGACTTGTCTGTCCTCGAACTGTACTCCTGTCCTCTTCCAATATAAATAAATAGATAAATTAATTAATTTAAAGCTCAAAAAAATAAATTGATCTTTTCGATAAAAAAAGATTTACAAAATAAATCATTGATTTAGGTTGCCAGCCTGCGGGTATTCCAGTTGGTTGGAATCATATTTACCGTGTTTGGAGTGATCGGCAAAGTTGGAGCAGTTTTCGTGACAATACCTTACAGTGTTATAGGTGGAATGATGATGATCAATTTCGGCATGCTAATTGGTGTGATGCTTTCCAACCTACAATTTATAGACCTTGCGTCGTCCAGAAACCTGGCAATCATAGGAATGTCTATACTAATGGCCATGATGATGCCTTATTGGGTACAAACTACACCAAATGCCATCGACACCGGTAATATTTACAACATGTTAATTCAGCATTAAAATGAACAAAGACATGTTTTTTTTAAATGACTGAACGATACACTGCATTGACTTTAGAGCTAAAGCTGTTATTTTCACTGCCTTATTCAACTTTTATCTGTCATTAATTTAAACAATTGACAAGGCTGATTTTAGCCAAGGAATTTTATTTAAAAATTCGAAACACCAGCGAAATTTGATTACGGATTCTCTTTATAAGTCTCACCCTGTTCCGGTGGTCACATGTTTGTTTGGCCAATTTTCATGTAAACAAATATTCGAATATATTGGCAAAGTTTAAGACATTAATTTTAAAATTAATGTCTTAAACTTTGCCAATTGATGGTTTTAAATCCGATGTCCGTAGACCTTCTAAACTCGTAGTCACAATTAAGCCAAATTCTATTCATGTGGGAATGAAACTAAAACATAGCAAGATCAAAATTAACTAGAAGTAAATATTACTTTAGCTGTGCTTAATATCAAATTAAAATCATGAAGGCATTCCAGTCACGTTCATGCTTATGCATGTATTACTTATATAATAAAGATATTAAGACAGTACGTCGCCTCTGTAGGTGAACTGTAAGCAAAGAATGGTTACTTACCATCGATAGGTTTTGCAACATTTACCTCCCTTGAATTTACATTACTGTTTTCTATTTATCTAGGTATTCCAACCCTTAACAGCATTTTTACGATGTTTCTGGCAAATCCAGCGTTTGTTTCATTCGTTCTTGCATGCTTTATGGACAACACTATACCAGGTAGTACCCATATCTCTTTACTTTTCTTTTTTTTTAAAGAACTTTTCCCTTAGCTAATAAAATATGACCGATGACTACAGTAAGAACTTTCACAAACAATCAATATATGAATAAGAAATATATCTGATATTGCGCTTTAGAAAGTTTCGAAAAGAACCAACTAAATATCCATTATAAATAATGTCAATGAGTATTTCCTTTACAACAATTGTTTAATGCTCAGATGTAAGCTGGGATAGGCTAAGACCTTTAGGTTAATCTGAGTTCCTACAATATAGGTAATAAATATAAATTAAATCTAATATTTTATAGGCACGGATGATGAACGGGGACTTACCGCTTGGAAAGCCAGCATGGGTGTTGAAAAAGAATCTGGGGAAAAGGAAGAATCAACGCAAGACGAAATAAGGCTTAGAAAATTAAAGCAAACAATTTATATTGTACCTTTTTCAAAACAATTAGCTAGACGATTTACATGCTTACGATATTTACCATTCTTTCCTAAAAATGATTAACAAGACATTTCCCCGTCAATATGTAAGCCCCTCTATAAATCAGATGAATACATATATAAGTAGAACGACAAAACATGTTATAGTTTGAGCACCACAGTTCGATATATCCATTCACTAAAGTCACTACAGTTTATCGGATGGACTTTGACACAAGGCGTTTAATTAAAATCTTGTATGTTAAAGAATCGGATTTTCGAAAAAAAAGAGAGAAATCCTAACATTTTCTGTTAAGCTTCTTACCAGCTCTCTTTAATACGACATTTCTACGCCTCTTGGGATAAATACTGATTTCAAGATGTTTACACACCCACACGCTTAATAATGGTAATTTTATTCAAACGCAGATAAATTATCTGTTTAGATACACGCCATACAGCACTGTTAATTTACATACCCCTTCTGGTGATAATTTTAGTAATATTAGTTAAGTTCACGAAATATTAAATTTTATGTATGACTTAAATCCAAAATATAATCAAAGCGCTGACGGCACCGACGCATCATTTCATGTATGCTGATTTGACATGAAGTTTATCTTCTTAATTATGAAGAGGTATGACAAGTTGAACCGCTCATTTAAAGGACTTTTAAGCTAAAATAACCCGAGCCACTATATAAACGTCACGATTATCTAATGAATAGCGACAATACATCCGTGCCCTTAAAACACCAATAATGTTTTTTCTTAAAGTTTATGTCATTGAAATGAAAAGTTGAAATTATTTTTTCCTGTCGGAAGATTACGTATACAGTTGGAGACTATCGGAATATGCATAATGCGACAGATTGTTGAAAACTTGTCCCATTGTGGCTCTTACCAAATAACGACAAAAGTCCTGTACATTTTGTATATTAAAAATATTCTAGAATATAAAAAAACAAATCAAGAAGAAGCAAAATTCATAGTTTAATTTCATTAATTTAGCATATACAGTGCAGATAAAGGTATAACATCGCTTGCATTATATTTGGGCGTCTATATCCTGCATGGTAATAAAATTGACAAGTCTGCCTACCACCAATTTTGCGGAGAAACGTTTTCACATCATAATTTGTATTAAAAGACAATTTATTTGTACAGCTATGAGTCTATCGTATCGAAATGAAGACGCTTTAAGCATTGTTTGCTAAACGCTAGCTATTGACTGAACGGTTATAGTACACGGGTGGCAAGAAAAAAAGACGCATAGGTCAATGCTTTAAATATATATATTTATACATGATAAGTAAATAAGCTGTTTCATAAACAAAAGTCAAGATTAAAAAAGATTGAACTTTTCTAGATGGAACTTTTCTTACTGCTTCACTCCCCGTTAGTCTGAAATAAATAAAATGTAGGATTTAATTTATCAAGTAAAAGTTTATGAGGTAACTTATATAAAGATGGTATATCACTTTTAATTTAAGATATAATATGTTCTCATTAGTATACTGTTAGTATCACGGTATACATCCGCCATATTGATTTTAAAAAATAAAAAAAGAACGTGGCAAATAAAAATAGATTTACTGAAGGCGAAAGACGTCTGCAAATTTTTGACTGTATTACCCCACAAAAGTTGACATTTACCTATCAATAAGGGTACGCAATCCTTTCCAAAATGTGAATATAACTTCTTTTTACCAAAAGCATAGTCAGGACTGGCAAGCCTGTCTTCCGGTGTTATCTGACCAAACTTTATACTGTCGGTATCTTAATTTGAACATCTTGATCAATTGCTTTTGAAAATGTACAGTTCCAAATAAAATACATGGCGATTTTTTTATGAGAAATAAAGAGGATTTTTTCAAGAGATATTTAAGAACATTTCAGTCATTTATTTGATCCTAAAAGGGAGCCAGTATGTTTTGGTCTATCAGTTAAAGGTACTTTATAGACAGTGTGACATTACGTATCTATTAGATAGAAACATTGAACGCGTTTAGATTACAAGATTTGCCGTATCTCCTGGTCTTATAGAAGATTATATTTCTCTTTCTCGCGGAAAGTAATGATATATATGACGACGGTCGCATTACCTTCTTACATGTCGAAAATTCTTGTTCTTTCACGATATGTCACTTTTGCAGAATTCATAGATACGTCCAAAACAAAAGTCTTCGCATTCAACGTATGGACTAAGGGGATACAATATTGGTTATTTAATATGCATACCACATGATCCTGTAGAGCAACTTCTTGTCTTTATCCACGGATTTATACACACTCTCCCTCCATGTGATGGAATGGGGCTATTGCATTCTCGGGTCTTGTGTTGTGTACCCCCTGCGTATATCAAACAATTATTATTTAAATCTATTCGGTATACAGCAAACAGTCGTAGTAAGAAATATCAACAGAATTTAACGTTCTAAGTCAAAGAATACCCACACCACATTCGGTCCATGCGTTATCATATGTAGACGAAACACGTAATTGGAGGGTTTGTTAAAACTTTGTTGGATACTGCTTTTTATAAACTAGCTCTTGAAATTCTTTATCAATTAGACGTGTAGTACTTTTTCATGTTTTTTGTCAATGACGAACATATGGTCTTAAACATTTTGATAGCTTAAAATTTTGGATTTCGCATAAAAAACAATTGGTTTCAGGAGGATTAAATGTATATGTTAAATAATGAGGAAGAATTTATCATGAAAAAAGTAGGTGACTTCATATTTAAAAACTTGGAAAAAAACTTAAACAGAGCTTGGTTAAAATCACTTTAATTATTAATACGCGTCGATTTTATCATTTTGTGAAGAAATGTAAATTTTGCCCAGTTTACTAAAGTAACTATTGTTTTAACATTGTATATTAGCATACAAGTAGAGAAACTTAGAAACATATAGGTGTATAGCTTACCACCGCATGTTTGTGAGCACTCGGACCAAGCGGACCAATCACTGAACCGGCCATTCACAGGCTTGCGGCTAGAAAAGGGCCTCGAACTTCCATGGCCATACCCCTAAAAAAGACAAACATTTACTGTCTGGACCTAACCAAAATGATTCTTGTCATTTACAGCCTTGTAACACCGCACTTTGGGGTCAAACGCACTTTGGGGTCCGACTCCAAAGTGCGTTAAACTTCGCACCGCACTTTGGGGTCCAACGCACTTTGGGGTCAAAATCGAGAAAACGACCCCAAAGTGCGTTAATATGCTACATATGAACGCACTTTGGGTTCCAGAGGTCTAAAGGTGTCATCTGAGTTCTGCTTAAATACTGAGTACTGACTTATTTTCGATCTGCAACATTGAATTATTTGAGGTGAAGTTCAAGATTGCGGTCGATACTTTGATGATGCTTAAGTGATAAAAGTTTCATTCATTTTTTCACTTGAAATATCTAAAAATTGTGTTCATATAACAAAATTACGGTGGCATAAAAGTGACATTTGCATTTTTTTTAGTTTTGCATACATATTTTATTTTAGTTTTGCATGCATACATTTTTTTTTAGTTTTTCGTACATATTTTATTTTTGTTTTTCCTACATTTTTTAGCCAATCAAAACAGCCAAAACATTTTATAACAGCCTATAGTTGAGTATAAAACTAGCATAATGGTTTAGTTACATTTCGGCTTCCGACGCCCCTTCGAGGCGTGCACGTCGCTCGGAAGGCATAGGTCACACCAGATGGGTGACCTAGTTAGGTCACTCAGCTGGTGTGACCTAACCAACGACGAGGGGTGTGGCCCCAAAGAGAGCTGCTGCTCCCGGAAGAGGTGCCTTTCCTCTATTGTCTACCATTGTTCAGGAAGCGAGGAACTGGGTCCTAGAGAAGATCTACGACGAAAGGCGGCATGAAAAGACCTCCGTTGCGGCTCTACGATCGGCGACGTTGCAGGCGAAATAAGTCCTCCGTTGCAGGCTCTACGACCAGCAATCATAACAGACGCCGATAGTCTGGGACACATTGGTTTACCGGCGCCCAGTATAAATAAAACTAAAAACACACACACACAAGTCACATTTCGGCCCATTTTTTTGGAATCGGCCCAGTCGTTTTCGGCCGCGCAAGTCTGGTTTCGGCCGACCCTTTTCGGCCCATTTTTTAAAATTATATATATTTTATATAATTACGTTTTTTATTATTATATACTATTATATTAGTGTCTATTTGGAAAGGGCTGTTGATTGGTGATCAATTATTATTCCATGAATATGCACCACTCAACCCCATCCCCTGAGAATAGTGGGGTGGGGGAGGCATTGACGTTTAACCAAGCCGACCACTGGTAAAATCTTCGCCCTGCAGGGGATACTCAGATAATAACATTTCTGCCATATGCCCCGGAACAGCGCACCCATCAAAAGGCGATTCTTTTAACCCGCACTCCTCCGGGGGCAAGGGAGGTGGTTACAAATGTCTGATGTATTACAATAATGCACAATAAAAGATCTAAATAGGTCCTTATATTCCACTGATTTAGAAAAAATGCTTATAGCTTTGAAGGATCTTTATGAAACTTGGGTCAATTCTTTAGCACATCCAGATAATGTGCAGAACTTGTATGCCAGGTGTGCCGGCTGAAGGTCGGGGTCACACATACAGGTCAAAGGATTAAGACCTGGGTATCATATCGGCTCCTTATCTCCTTAACCCCATGAAGGATTTTAAGGCACCTTGTGTCAAAGGTTAACCACATCGAGACCATATACAGAACCTTTCTTTGGGTGTTTGAAAATGGTGTTTTACAAATGACGTAATTATCCAAACCTCTTATTTGCAAATGATCATGTAAAAATATGTACGAAAAAAATAATATGTACAAAAAACTTGAATAAAATATGTATGCAAAACTAAAAAAAAATATGTATGCAAAACTAAAAAAAATATGTACGACAAACAAACAAAAATATGTTCGAAAAAAAATGCAAATGTCACTTTTATGCCACCGTTTAAAATACTCTAGTACAGAAATTGTGTATTCCTAAAATTAAAGGATGCTGCTAAAAATATCCCGTTCTGTCAGTCATTCACTTGATAACTTTTGGTGCCATATTGCCTTCCCCATTTTAAATATGTTGGGAATGAAATAAAATGCAGTTAATATTTTTTTCATAAACTCTATTGCAATGTTGTGGTGAAACATCAAGTTTTTTAATCGGACTATAAATAGTGATTTTTACAAATACATTATTAAGCTTATCAACAAACTTTATGGTTTTTGTAAGCTCCGTAACAACCGTTCGCCAGAGGTTTTTTAATGGGAAATCTTACATACTTCTTTAGAAAGAGCACACATGAATTTTATATAATGTTAAAATAATGGTATCAGAGAAATGTAAGATGCTTGTTATCTGAATAAAGTAGCGATAAATGTGAAATTTGTCATAAAAGTAGTCAAAACAATGTAGTATTTGACTTCCATATAAAATACTATGTCACTGTATTTGTACTCATAATTGCCAAAAAGCAACAGATGAAAAACATGGTTCAGGTAATTGGCCAATGTGTATTTTTTGGATAATATAGAAGAACATTAAAAATAGAAAATCCTTTTAAGAAAAGCAAATAAAAGCATAATGGGCCTTTAAAACGTTATTTTTAACCCTTGGGGGGATCGATACCCTACACTCCCCTCTATATGAGAATTTTACATTATTCTGAAGTGTAAATAAAGAACGGGAAAATGATGCATTTAACTAAAAACAATGGAGTTAATGAAAGGTGTACATTCTATTAATATAAATGGAAAATTTAAGAAAAAAAAATTTTAAGCTTAATAATTGATACAAATTCTTTATTTGGTGATTTATTTGGTGAAAAGTCTTCACTTACTTATCAAGACCATTTAAATCCCTATTGATTCTACCATAATTCAGGGCACATGTTTTGCGTCTATGTAATGCCTTGATTTTTGTTTATCATTGGCTTTGACTACATTATATTATTTAAAACATTATGAACATTAATTTTCTCTGACCCCAAAGTGCGGTCGTTTGCCTGATGTTAAAAAATGCATATGTACCCGTTTAACGCACTTTGGGGTCGAAATTGGACCCCAAAGCGCGTAACGCACTCTGGGGTCGGACCCCAAAGTACGTTACGCACTTTGGGGTCGGACCCCAAAGTGCGTTTGACCCCAAAGTGCGGTGTTACACAGCCTGACAGACTTTGCTGTATTAAGTGTTCTGTTAAGCGGCGTTATGACTAAAATCAAGAAAACAGCGAGAGAATATGATTACATAGCGCGGCAATGTACGCTATCTTAGCTCCTACATACCAATAGATATATGCATATTTTTTTATAAAAATGTTAACAGTTATAGAAAAAAATGTTTTTTTTTATTGAACTTTGTGGTTTAAACAAAAATCTAAATATATACATACAGGTGGCGGCAGCGAATCTCCGTTGGCTGTAATAGTGTCAGTGTATGTTGGGAGGGCTGACTGGAAATGAAATGATCAGAATTATACATTTTCACTATTTCTGATATTCAAATAAACATTTCGTCCCTCAGCCTTATAAGATCAAATAATGTGTATATGACCAGGGGCAAAATTATCTTACCAGCTAAACGCATGTTCGAAAAGTGCCAAGATTGACCCTACTCACAACACGGGGGTGGATCCACATATTAATATCAAAATTGAGCATCGGCATACTTTAGCAGTACTATTGCTTTAACTTCCTTTGTGATATTTTGGTATTGTTCTTTAAAAAAGATATTTCACTCCAAAACAAACTTTTCAAAATGGGTTTTGTACTTTTTTCTGCAATAGCGAACGAATATGAAATGTACAAATATGAACGTAATTTTAAAAATACTTTTAAAATCCAAAATAAATACATTGTGCAGCAGATAACTAAGAATCATCCAGGCTTTATTTTCACTTACCGGTAACTTCGTTAAATCTGAGCCATACAAACGCTGTCTACAATCACCACTTCCGGTGAGATTTCCGGAGAATTTAACTGTAATTTCCGGACAACCTTCCCCGCCACATTCGTGTTTGTCGTCTGGTGCACGGTCATGCACACCACGAAACTTGTAATACACCATTCTGTGAAAAGAATGTGCATCTTTTTAAATTAAGAATATATGTATTTATATAATAATTTGTCTTGCAGATATATTATGCAATATGACCAACAACAAATTTAAACCACGTATTTTGGCAATAATTGTTAAAATTTATTAATAAAATATATCTATTTACGCGTTTTTATTTGTACAGTTGAATTGTTCGGAGAAAGGATGTTTTTTAATTGAAAACCCCGTGAACATCAAAAATCACTTGTTGCATTTCACCAATATTTTCAAATTTTACCTAAATGATGAACAATTTACATAGGTATACATTGCTTTCTGAGATCAAAGAAAATAAAAGAAAATAAAAGAAGTAGGTAGCCTTTAGTTCATACAAATTTATTTTAGTTCGACTGTTTTGGAAGCTATAAGCTTATTGAAACACTTTTGAATCCGTTCCTAGAAGCAACCAGTACTTAGCAATGAATGTAAAATTTCTTGTTCAAGGAAACAACGGCTTTACTCCTGAGAAGAGTAATCTTTGCAGCCAATATAGAGAGAAGCACTTCCGTGCAATTCGACCAGATTTATCATCTATGTTGTAGGCTGAGCAATCTCACATTTTCATCTTCATATCCCAAATATTGGTTCAAAATTTACAGATCAAAAAATGAAAGCTAAACAATATCAAAGTGCCACAGAATTAAAAAGTCAGGTACAACGTAAATAGTGTGGCTAGATACAGACATTTAAACGCCGGAAACCACTGGCACACCGCTAACTGAAGTGTACACGTAACGAATAACTGCATGTTGTCATATATGTTTCTTTCAATTTCTTGCAATTTCGGCCTGGAACCCATCAATAAATCCGAAACACAACAATCAAATACTAAGAAAGAACAGATCTGAAATGTGTGAATTGCAGTTTAGATGTTAACATAATTTGTAAGATCGCTAACACGTTTTCGAAATTTCGAAGATTATATTTGAAGCAAAGTATTACGTACCCAGTTGTACTGTTATAGAAATACTTCTTTCCGTCCTTGTCCGGCTCAAATAGGTCAAGTTCCGTCAGAGAGTTAACTTGGATGAATTTGCTCATTGCGTTCAAATTATCCGGGAATTTGCTGCTTAACTCCCAGGTTGCACCCGGTGGAATGCAGATACCGACTCGCAGCACCTCATTACTGTAGAGAAAATGAATGTCTTAACATTAATGGACACGAATCTCTCTTTTAGTATATTTCTTCATCTATACGTGCAAAATGTAAATCAAGTAATCAAGGTTCAAACCACGTCCGAGTTTTACAAAAGCATGCCAAAGACCTTCGTAACTTTACTATTACAGCACAGTATCAAGTGTACATACATGCAGTTATTACTGCTATATACGTTTGCTCTAAAACCATTATTTAAAAAACACTCATATTTACAATTTCTAAAGAAGGAAAAAATGGTATTCTTTTCTGAGGCATGATGTGCCTTCAACATTTCTCGAGAAAGATTCGAAATGTCAATACATGTTCTATACGTAAACTGTGTCGAAGTCATACCGATTAAAGAAAAACAAATCTTACGTTTCAATGCCATCCGCAGTAAATTTCAACCAATCTGGTATTTGTCCAGTTGTATGAAAAGTGTATGTTTCAGTCCCGTTAAGGACAACTTGAGGCCCGGCACTCTTCTCAAGGTCAAACGTGAGTTGTGCACCCGGGAATTTATCACGGACAAACACGCCAAGAGACCCATGTGAGTAAAACGCATCGATTCCTGAATGGTGAAGTCTCCACTGAAAATTAAACACATTTTTCTTATCAAAATTTGTAACAGTCAGTGCGACTGTGAACTATGAATTATTTAAGTCAAAAAATATATATTACTACTAGAAATATGAATTTTAAAACGAGTTTGACATATGAAACATTTGCGGTTATATTGCTTTTTTATATTATTTTTTTCTGCCTTTTATTGCATATGTCATGTGGTTAAACCCATTTGACGACAGTTGGCACGTTTTCGCCGCCCATGCTAGCACCGCGTTTTAGCAAGCCATTCTAAAGACGGTCGTCGTCACTCTACCTCGTTTTCTAACCCTGTTAAAAGTCATTTTAAGACGGCTTGTTAATGTTTTTGCCTTTACGCCCGCTTCAAGCGCACATCATAACCACAAACAACCAGGTGTGTATTAGCGTTTTGTCGTCTGTTCGCCTTTTGCTAGTTCTGCATGACAAACAGCGAGCCATTTGCATCGTACGGTGTCCTTATCGTGCCATTTAGAATGTCGTCCGTCGCGTCTAAGGGTAGACACACGACAATGCGAAGTGACATCGCGACAATGCGAAGCGACGCTCGACAACGCGAAGCGATATGCGACAATGCGAAGCGACGCTCGACAGTGTCAAACGATATGTCGCACTGTCGCCTAGAAATGTCGCGGTAAAAAAGGGCGACATTTAAGAAATGTCGCTTCGCGTTGTCGAGTGTCGCTTCGCATTGTCGAGCGTCGCTTCGCGTTGTCGCGATGTCACTTCGCGTTGACGCGATGTCACTTCGCGTTGTCGCATTGTCACTTCGCATTGTCGAGTGTCGAGGTTGGTAGAAGTGCATACCACGACACTCGACAATGCGAAACGACAACGCGACAATGCGATACGACGCTCGACAATGCGAAGTGACACTCGACATCGCGAAGCGACATTTTTAGAATGTCGAGTAAATGTCGCGTTATTTTTATGATTTTTACACCGCGACGCTCAACATTGCGAAGCGACACTCGACAATGCGAAGCGACACTCGACAACGCGAAGCGATACTCGACAACGCGAAGCGACACTCGACAATGCGAAGCGACATTTGGAATAATATCGTATCGCATTGTCGTGCGTCTACCGGTGCTTGGTCAGAATTTACTAACTCACCGACAAACGGTGCGATCATGGAAGGGGTCGCACTAAACTGCTGACGAATTAGCTGACGATATAGAATATATAGGAAACTGCTGACCAGGGGTTAGTATCTCGAAGCTATCGTTAGCATAACGACTATCGTATACCTCTCGTTACGGTTTACATCGCTATCTCGACGCTCTCGTAATTAACGAATAATCGTTAACATGCCCAATTATTAACGAATGCCTAGATGGTGTCGTAAGGCTCTCGTTACTATCATTTTGACACAAAAATAAGAAAGGTGCGATTTTAAAGTACATAAAAAAATGAGAATTATATAATTTTATTGATAAAAAATGATGAACCGACATAAATGTAGTAGATCTATTGAATTTCTTTTTCTCATGAATTTTCACAGGCCCGTTATAGATTTTATTGTGTAAATTCACTCAAAGAACTCTTTAATACAATTCCATAAAAACAATCATTGATTATTTGAAAGAGATAAACTTGTATTCTTGGATCTAATTGGCTCATTTTTATTGTCATTTACAAAGTTTTACATAACATTTAAGCCTATTATAGCATTCGACTCGATATGGCCAGTTATGTGTTGACGACCCGTAAAAATCCAAACAAACAAAATTTTTCTCACATATCAAACGAATACGAATACGAATACGAAAATTTTATTCAGCATTAAACATGTTTAAACAATGTTTATAGCCTATACAAATTCTATTGTACAGTGTGAACAAAAAACATAGAAGAAAGAAAAGCAAACAACAAAATGCATTTTTTACATAATAAATTATACAGTTATCAGAAGAGATTGTTTAATGAAACATTATTCTGAAAAAAGTATCATGATTATGTAAAGTCGAATAAACATGTAAATGTATCATTACATATATATAACCCTATTGCAATATTAACAATATTTACGTGATTCTAATGAAAAAAAAATTACACAATTCTTCTTTTATTTGCAAAGTAAACAAATTTAGCTAAATTCAATAAATCTTTTGTAGAGTTTGTTGACATGAGAGCCCTAAATTTATTCAAAGTCGGCCACTGGCAGTAATAGCGTTTAAAATATTTATATCTCAAATCTCTAAAATGTGGACAGACCATCAAAAAATGGTATTCATTTTCGACCATTGACATATTACATGATTTACAAAGTCTTTGTTCCCTTGGGATATTATAGTATCTACCGGTTTCGATATATAGATTATGAGAGGACATGCGAAATCTGGATAATGTATTTCTTAATTTGTAATCAGAAATCACCGAAAGATATTTTTCACGGTCAAAATTATGTTTAAAAAAATGCAATATGACTGGAGTCGACTGGAATTATTAATATCTGCATACCATTTTTGTAAATAGTTATCTAAGATTCTTTGTTTGATAGCAGAAAGGGGAATATCATTTTCATTTTGATTTTGCCAAACATATAGAAATCCAAGTTCTGATAGGAACTTTTTGATTTGAAACGCCCAGTTATTTCCTCTATACGTTATATTGGAATCAGCGTCTGCTTTTAATAGTAAATAAGCTTTCTTCACTAGAGACGAATCTTCTTGTTTAACTATTTTAACCCAATATTTAATCATTGTTATTTTGCGATATATAGATAAAGGGTAACGTCCTAATTCCCCATAAAGTGCTAATAAATTTGTTGATTTTTTCACCCCTAAGACCCTACGCAGAAATTTTGTATGAATTGCTTCAACAGCTGTAGCGTCATGGTTTCCCCAAATTTCTGCACCAAAATTTAAAATAGATCCGACAAGCGAGTCAAACAGCTTACACTTTTGAGAAATAGGTAACTCTATATCATTAAAAATTGAGAAAAGGTTATGTAGTGCGTACGATGCATGTTGAGCTATTTTCTTTTGACTTCTGAACCAATTTCCGTTTTTAAAAAGGGTTAAACCCAAATATTTGAACGTTTCAACAATCTCAATTTTTGTATTATAGATGAAAAAATCATACTGTGTATGATGACGTCCTTTCTCAAAAACCATTGCCTTGGTCTTTGATGTATTGATTTTCATATTCCACCTTGTGCAATAATTTTCAACATCTTTAAGCATAGATTGTAATGATGTCGGCGACTTTGCAAACAGAACCTGGTCGTCGGCAAAAAGGATTAAAAATAGTTTGAGCTCGTTTACAGTAAATAAACCATCTAAATTTGTATTAATGTTATCAATAATGTCATTTGCGAATAACATGAACAGCAGAGGAGAACTGGGGTCTCCTTGCTTCAAACCGAGGTTCGAGTCGAAAAATTCCGAAAATTTGCCATTATATCTAACACACGACGTAACAGTCTTATACATTGACTTAATAGCCTTAACAAATTTACAACTCACATTTTCCATTTAAAGTTTTTTCCATAGAAAAGACCTATCAATTTTGTCAAAGCATTTTTCGTAGTCAATAAATACACTGTATAGTTTCTCTCCATTTTCTAGAACTTTTAAAACAACTGAATGAAAAATAAACAGACAGTCAACAACCGACTTCCCTTTTTGGAATCCAAACTGATTTTTTGATATTTTTTCGTTTTTTTCTGTCCATTTCGTTAATCTGTTTAATAAAATTTGGGAGTAGATTTTGGCTATTACGTTTATTAGCGTAATACCGCGGTAATTCTTTGGGTCGTTTATATCGCCCTTTTTAAATATTGGTGTTATAATGCCTTTACCCCACGATTCCGGATATTCGCTGTATTTAAACAATCTATTATAAAGATTTAATAAAAGAGGCGACAGAATATCGTATGCTGCTTTAAATATTTCAGCCGTAAGACCATCGATACCAGCGGATTTATTATTATTTTGCATAAATACAGCGGAATGAAGCTCCGTTTCCATAATTTCGCAGTTAAGATCGTCGTCTGAAAGGACATATTGATCCAGATTTGGCTCTTCTGACTCTATGGACGCGTTTTCACCAAATAATTCTTTAAAATTCTCGAACAATTGCTCGACTGTTAAATTTTTCGCTATTTCTTGTTTACGTTTATAACTTTTTTTAACATTTTTCCAGAATTGCCGCGGCTGTTTATTTGCTAGTTCTGAGATTCGTTTACCTTCGTTTATTTTGAATTTTCTTTTTGCAGCCTTTTTTATTTTGTTATAATATTGATGCGAATGAATGAAAGCAAGTCTATTTTCTTCATACATACGAGGTTCTTTACATTTTAATGTAAGACTTATATTTGAATGCGGATGAAAAAAAACATATCATAACTTAAACAGCGAAAGGAATAATCTCCGTAATGTGTAATTTTGCACAAGAAAACATAAATAAATATATGCATACATCATGCTGAAAATTCAACAAAATTCAAACTAGTTACACAATTATATTTCGAAAAGTAAACTGTGGCGTATTAATTACATCATGAAGAAAAGTGCATTACGTCAGCTGCAAAAATCGGTACCACAAAAAGGGATGTAATATATAGAAATGTTGTTTGTTTATCATTTTATATTAACATATATTTCACTCGCGAACACCAGTTGTTTAGGCCAGTCAGTTTAGCCAAAAAATATGCTTAACATAGAACTAATTGCAACAGTTTTTATTTTGTGTTCATATGAAGGCACAATAAGTGTACTATCTCTAATAAAAAGTCCCAGCATGTTGCACCTGCCGTTTTGGTTAAAAACTAGTTTTGATCAAGCGTAGTGTAAGAATAAATTTGCAAAGACCTGGACTGCATGTACCATTACAATACATATTATTCTTGAGAAATTAAACATATAATTTACTTTAAACATAAAACTGTGTTAAAGTGACAATCTTTAGTATTTTTATTCTCTAAATTGGTTAATAAAGTATCTTATTTCTAAACTTTTATACAAAAAATAACATATAAAAC